AAGGATAATATTTACCACTCAGGAGTCATTTAAACACATCTTCAAAGGCCAGAAACAGACCACCCACAAATGCAGATGTACTGAGAGCTCTAACACTGTGCTGGTCATGAATCCTCAGTACTGCAGGGGGCGCCAGAGGACAACTCAGAGTCTGTAATTCAGACCTACTGTGATCAAAGCAAGTGTGGAAAGAGATCACTCTTTACAATGTGTTACACTCAGCAAATAAAAAGAAAAACTGTGCACAAAAATGTGCCACATTTAAGTGTGTTTCTCTGTAGAGGAACTTATTTTCACTTCAACAGTCGACAAAACATGCAGTCTGACCAGCGACGTTCAAACCTCTGCATACGACTGTATAGCTATGTTACAGTATATTATATTCTAGTTGCAGGGGTTCCTGATCGCAGTCCTGAGGACCCTTTGCTATGCACATTTTTGTGCTGCGCCATGTGATCCAGAATGAGGGGCCTCTTAATTAGCTAATGAGCTGAATCAGCTGTGAGTGATGCGACACGCCACAAAAATCTGGGATTAGGAACTCCTGATTAATATGGAAATACAATCATTACAGACAATAAAATGCGATGCATACAAGACTTTGCCGTAGTGACTTGCAGACTGTGTGTCAGAATGAAAGGCAAAACTCTAATATTTTTTCAGTACTTCAAAAGTATACAGTGGTGCCTGAAAGTTTGTGAGCCGTTTAGAATTTTCTATATTTCTGCACGTTTGACCTAAAGCTTCAGATTTTCACACAAGTCCTAACAGTAAAGAGAACCAAATTAAACAAATGAGACAAAAACATTAGACTTGATCATTTATTTATGACCACGTCTGAGGAACTCTTCTTCTGAGGTCCCCAGAAATCTCCTTTGATGCCCTGATACACTTTCACAAACATGTGTGAAGGTCAGACTGTGACAGATCCCTGTTCTTTAAATATAACAGGGTGGTCACTCACACCTGATTGCCGTCCCATTGATTGAAAACACCTGACTCTAACTTCACCGATTCACATAGTTTTGCCACTCACAGATATGAAATATTGGGTCATTTTCCTCAATAAATAAATGGCCAAGTCTAAAATTTTTCTCTCATTTGTTTAATTTGGTTCTCTTTATCTACTTTTAGGACTTGTGTGGTAATCTGATGTTTTATGTCAAATATATGTAAAAATGCAGGAAATTCTATGGGGTTCACAAACTTTCAGGGACCACTCTATGAAATTCAGCCATGACTGTAAAAAAAAAAATTAAATGCAATGCACATGAGATCGCATTTAAACAGTGACATGCAGAAAGCATGCCAAAATGAAAAGTATAAGCTCCATTACACTGATTTAACGCTGTTTAAAGTGCTGCACGGGGGAAAGCAATATTGATGTGCGGCTTGTGTTCAATTCTGATACTAATCCTGCAATAAAAAGTAAAACCTTGCTTTTCATTTTGCCACATATTCCACATGTCCCATTGAAAAGTAAGGTCATATGTGTATGTATTTCACATTTTTCAACTGTAGTGACTGCATTTCAATGGGACACAAATTAATCTCCATAGGTTTTAGTGTATATGGAAAACAAAAGCATGCTCACCATGGCAGGAGGAAAGCTGCAGCCACGCTGAAACCAGCCGCCAGAGAAACGATGTAGGACACGATGAGATTACTCTCGATACACACCACCAGGATCATGAAAGGGATTGCCCACTGTAAAAACAACACCACACGTTCAAAATAATGAAAAATATGTACACAGCGCTGAGCAAAAGACAAGCAAGTGGTGTCAAATTGGTTTTTGCCAGTAAACATTGTGTCATACAGAATAAATTTAAAGAAAAGCTGTTGTTTTTCAGTAAAGTTAACACGTACATCATGTTCATAAGGCTACAAGACAATTACACACCTTTCATAACAGCCCAAACAAACTACACTGCTAAAAAAGATGGTTCTTCAAGGGTTCTTTGTAAAGAAATGGTTCTACATAGAACCATAACCACTCAAAAACTCATTGCATGATTAAAAGGTTCTCTGCATGGTGGAACAGTCCTTCAGACTGATGGAGGATGTGCTGCACATGTGTCTATACAGAACCTTTCTGAAAAGAGCTTTATACAGCACCAAGAAGGATTCGTCTAACAACAGAAGAACCCTTTTTGGTGCTGTATAGAACCATTTTCAAAAAGCTTTAATCATGCAAAGGGTTCCTTCAGTGTTCATGGTTCTATCTAGGATCATTTTCTTTACTAAAGAACCCCTTTAAGAACCTGTAATGTAACATAACCCTACATAAACAGTCTTCTTCCAATAAGCAGCAGCTCTCATAAAGGCCGCTTGTCAACTTCAGTGTGAAGTTTTTGCAGACATCAGGCGTCATAACACTGTCTGGGGTGAAACGACACAGCACATAATGACAGCTGACTGCAGTCTTTTTGATGTGTCAAATACATAATGGTGATTATTTTACACAACTTGACAAAAGAAGCTGGTTAAATCAATACGAATGTGAGCACTTCTAAAATGATGCTCTGACTCTTTATGCTCACATTGAAATGAAAGTCTACTGTATTTAAGTTTTATTGTGTTGCTGATACTCTGTTAAACTGTTATGACAATGTTATGTGTTTGTTCAATGCCCAATAAATAAAGGCAGTTTTCAATGAGAATACTGTGTACAAGAAAGCTACTTCTTATAGCGCCAGCACCAAGAGAGAGAGAAAAGACATGACTCAGTGAGGCAGCGGTCTGAAACGACTGCAATAGGTGCACTGTTAATCACAATTATATATAGGGCATTTAATCGCCAGCTAAAATTTCACAGCCCTAAATAACTCTAAACCTAAATAGATGCATAGTTTCAAAGAAAACATACAGAACTGTCAGTACAGTGTCACGGCATTGCTGGGCTTCATGCACACCTTAAGAACACAAATATAACACTCTCTTAGTATAGGGCAGCTACAGCACAGCTGAATACAGTTTTAGTGTAGTTATGAGCAGGTCAATGAGCAGCACTGCAAAAACAGACCCTACGCACAGCAGAAAGACCGTTGCTTACCGAGATGCCGATGTAGACTGCAGTTTTTTTGCCGAAACGGGTGAGGAACAGCTGCCACAGAGGAATGGTGAGAGCACCGGAAAGCTGCAGAGATAAAGGCAAACATCAACGACAATAACAACACGGAGCACGGCTGCATCTATTAGCAGGTTCTGCTACTCCAAAAATGTGAGATGGATTGGAACAGGACTACTATTGCTAAGGAACCTAATAGACAATCAGAGAGTTAGGATGGGCGGGGCCTAAAAACTCCATTATCTGACAACAATAATTGACCTAGCCAGGCTCCACCCACAAATATGTTCTACTGTCACTACTGTTGTGAGGTTGTTTCACGAAACACGAGGTTGATACCTCTGCAGCAATTCTGAACATTGTATGTTTTTCCAGCTCTCATTGCTGATCTTTATTTCCTATATATATTCTATACATTTTTATCTATCTATCCATCTTGGGTTCTTTAATAAATATATGTGATCAATGCGCTTATGATAGACGTTCGGCTATTTCATTAAAATAGCTTTCGCAAAATTGTGATGGGGCAGCCGTTGCAGCTGAGTTTCAAGTGAGTTGCAGGACGCTTTATATTATGCAACTCAAGTGATTTAGTTTCATGTAGGTTTCCAAGCTGTATGTGTAAAGCCAGCCTTACTATCTCAATGAAGTCACAACACAGATTCATGCAAGACTGAAATAACAGAGCTTATTGGAAAATCACTTTAATACATTGACCTATATGATACTGATATATGTCAGTGAGCTCTGTTCTGATTGGCTGCCCTGTATTGTGCCTGATTTAAAAAGCCACAAACACACACACAACACACTATAACTTCAGCGTGAATGGGTGGGGCTAAACTGCTGCAACCTGAATAGGCAGATATATGTAAAATGTGTTTTTTTGTGACATCACAAAAACAGTGAAGTCAAAACAGGCAGCTCAGTCTCCACCTATGGAGTGTACGGACTAAAGAGGGAATGGTACATCTTAAAACAATGTTTACATGCTACAAACTCTCATTTAAGCTTCCATAATATGGGCCCTTTAAACTATTCATCACAAACTCCATATGTAAACCCAGCCTTGCTGTCTCACTGTAGTCACATTACAGAATCACCCAGGATTGAAATCACAGAGCTTTTTGTAATAACAGAACCAATCCAGCTCCAACAGAACATTCTTAAATACACTGACCCAATGAGCTCTAATAGTGTTTGAAGTGATTCTCTCACTGTGACCTCCCACTTTCAGAAAATCTGACCCCCAGATGGTACATGTTCTCAGGCACCCCTTCTTAGAGTTACAGGTTTCTCTGTATCCTTCATCTCTTTTTCTTTCTTTGTTTATCACCTGTTGGGCCTCATTTCTCACTTGATCCTGAAAACGAGTCCTTTCATCGCCATGGAGAAGCCGGACGCCATCCCGAACAACTGCTGACTCACCGAATCCACTGTAATTGCTGTGACGAGGCCAAAAACAACAGACCAAAACACAGCACTCACCATTATGACCAGTAGGATGTTCTGGAAGTCATCGCGAAATCCCAGCGTGTAGGTGATGAACAGCGCAAAGTTCCCCTCCATCAGCTAGCAGATAAAAAAAAAAATAAGAGTGATAAAATTACATACATATTAAAAACCAGCCCCAAGAGTTATTCCTGCAACTTCTCATCCCATCCGTGTCACGGTAAGCCTAACTTCACTCTGGCCCACAGCCGAAACTGCAGTTTGGATTTTAGACCCGTTCTAATGCTCACTTTGATCCTAAACCTAATCTCTGTCATGACAGTTTGCTTTAGCTTTCTCTGTCAGGGTTTGTACAGTGTCTCTCTCCCACCCACTCTCTGTGTGTCCATCTGTCAGGTGACTGCACTGGTAAAAGACAGATCAGCAGTATATTAGCTGAACAGCAGGGGGTGCTATATAGCTGGATTCATGCATCAGCAACTAGGCTAACATTTGACTCAAGTACTAACTTACACTGAACTCAAGTTTATCATAAATTAAACAAGTTAAAGAGCTTATATTCTACATTTTACTTACATTTTCTATTGTTTGGACAGTCATGTGGAAGTGTTCATGGTTGTGACATCACATTTTCAGCCTACATTTTTCACTTTTCTTGTGCTTTACTTCTCCCCCTGAGGTCAACTTTTACACACCAAATACAATAAGTTGTTTTACGTGACCATCTCTTTATGTCTCACAATTAAACAGGCTGTTTTCATTCCTATGCCTTTAACCCTCTGGGGTCTGAGGGCATTTTCTTGATTTTTCACTCTGTTCTTAAAATCGCCTTTAAAAGGCTCTTGCATACAACATTATTATCACATATTATATATCAAAATGTTCAGAACAATCTCAGCTCTCTCTGTAATGAGGCTGTGGAGCACTGTGTACAGAGATAATTCACCCCAAAAGCTGAAAAAGTTAAATCTGGTTTTAGAAATTCCTAATATGTCTTGTGAAAACGTAGCTTTATTCATGTGGACGGATTGTTTTGGTGCTTGAAATGTGTTTACTAAAGTCTCAGGTTCACAAAAGTAGTGGAATTCATGAATAAAACAGATTTCCTCCTCATCACTACTTTCTAAAACCACTTACGTCTATGTCTGAGGCAACTGAACGAAAAATGAAGGGTTTCCGGCGTGATGGTCAGTCTTTAGTGATTTCCTGAGTGTCCATTAGTCAGTTTCACACATTATGTAGACGGACACACAAATCTACCGGTTCCGCACGGTGAGAGGCAGATTACTTGTATCTCAGCCCCTCTTCATAGGCTCATAACTCCGGATGCGAGTCACGTATGATCTCGCGATAAGATTGAATGGAAAGGCCGACTCTATGGTCTAAGGTCTCCATGCCCAATGCTCAGCGTGGGCTAGAGGGGTATAAAACCCCAGCACTGGGCTGTGGAGCAGTGGAACTGTGTTCTCTGGAGTGACGGAGCTCCATCCAGTACCTTTGGGATGAGTTGGAGTGACCCAGAACTGACCATCCAACATCAGTACCTGACCTCACTAATGCTCAATCAAATCCTCACAGCAGTGTTCAACGTCTGGTGTAAAGCCTTCCCAGATATGTAAAGGCTGTTACTGCAGCACAGACTCACTATTAACACCTTAATTTCAGAAGAAAAGCTGGAGTCCACAAACTTCTTTGGACATACAGTTCAAACTGAGTCCACGTTCCCACACCTACAGGAGCCCATGCTGAGAAATACCATCACCTGCTGTAAAATGGTAAGAGACTGTGAGTGAATGTTGTTTTTCCTCACCATAAAGGCCAGCGAAGTGAAGAGGAATCCCGTGACCAGTTTAACGTATGGCCCGTGTGTCTGCAGCAGCCGGAGACCCTCCACGAAGGACAGACATCGATCTGCTCTGCGCTGCACATCTGCACAGACAGACACAAGGCCTACATTCATCTCACTGCAGGGGTGAAGATCTATGACCAGCTTCATACTTTTTACACCATAATGAAAAGTGTTAGACAGACCGCATCCCTCACTGGCTCTTACGAAGTGGACGTTAGAGAGAGAGAAAAGAGACTGCTTCACTTAACCCTTAGGAGTGCACCGCCAATGACAAAATCATGCTGTAATTTTATACGAATTACTTCTGAGCTGTAGTTTATCAAAACAAGTGGAGAGATTGTGTGGAAAGTGCAGGTTGTAAACTTTCAATCCATACCACATTGGTGTTTGTATGTAGAAGAGAAGGTCCTGATCTGAGAAGATTCATGAATAAGAGTAAAAGAAGTGCTGTTGTGTGTGTGTTCATTATCTTAAATACATTTTAAATGTATTTAAAAATAATAAAAATAATATTTAACATGTTGCAATTATTACATAGAGTGTAGCCTATTAATGTGGAGCAGAGAAGCATAATAAAAAAAATGTTGTTGAAGTACTAAAAATTAAACTATTCACACGAGAGTGCAGGAGGATTGCTATTAATATGTAGAGGAGAAATACAAAATAGTTCTATATTTAATTTAATTCACAACAAAACATTTTAAATATTTAAAATTGAATAAATTACATTGCAAATAAAATACCATGTTTATCATGGTTATAATGAAATTATATCTTCGAGTGAAGGAGAATTGCTATTATTATATGGGTAGAAGCATAGTAAAATAAAATATATTAAATAATAAACTAAAATATCTGTCCTAAGTTTTTACAGCCTTGTTTTGTAAGAAAAAAAAATCCTTTTACATTTTTGCCCTTTTTTTAATGAATTTCAATTAAAACAAAAAAAAAATAAAAGTTCAGGCTCAAAACTTTTTTTCCCCCAGACAGAATGTAAATCTAATTCATAGTATGTAATTAATTTTATTATGTAATTAAATAGTGGGGGGAGCACATGGCACAACCTAACGCAGAGCAAAATGGAACAATGTGTGCGATTAAACAGGTTCCAATACATGCTTTTGGTCATCTCCTCATGTTCCCATAACAACACCTGTGAATTTTTACAGATGTTTCTCCAGATTCACATGAGGACTGATTCTATACCATAAAGAGTTATTTTAACCCCCTCTTGATGTCTGTACTATATCAGCATTTAGAAGCAGTTAAACAGCTCACAGTGAGAGCTATCCAGGCTAAAGTACAGCCTCCACACATGGGGGTTAGTTTAACACAGGGTTACAACCAAGTCGCGGAGATAAAGCACATACCACCCTGCTCAATTCCCATTGGTTATCGCCACATTGCTTTGCATAAAGTTAAACTTCACTCAACTTTGTTGCGCCGCAGACTCCGCCCACTTTGCGTCACCAACGTTCACGCCACCTTCAGACGACGGAAATCTCCAGCTTTCATTGAAAACGAATGAATTTCGACCGCTTTGTAGCGTTTTAGCGTTGTACATTGTAACAGTTGCACTCAAACCACATACAGCTAAATTGTTCAGAAACTGTTAGAGCCCAAAACAAAGTTTACGTTTGTAGCCGAGCTGTGTCAGTTGCTTGTACAAAAATATTGTTGATCTTGCTCAAATAGATTTAAAATTCTTGAGAATGTGTTATTTTGTGTCCTGTGCTCCCTCCATAGCCACACAGTAATTACTCCAGACGTATAAAGTCTAGTCATGTTTAAATGTGAAAATTCCCCCGATTTTATCATTTTACTGCTGACGTCACTCAGTGCACACCTATTCTACTTTACTGTTAGAGTGATGTCATCTATGGTGTGTTTTAATATATGTTGACACACACACCAAGATCTATTCCTTATACACATCTGTTCTTAGCAAAATAAATCTACATGGAGAGTGAAAGACGCACCTTGCTGCTCTCGAACTCCCAGGAACAGCACAGCAGCACAGAGCACGTAGATGATGCTGATCACACCAGACGCCAACATGTATGCCTGTTTCTGTTGGAGACAGAAATGGAAATAAAAATATGCAAATTAAAACTCAATTAAAGGGTCCATATCCTGTATTTTTAAAATTTTCTTTGCCTCCCAAGGACCACTTATAATGTATAATGCTGTTTTTATGCACTAAAAACACAGCTCAGTTTTACATCGTCTTCCAACCTCTTTTTATCACTAATTGAACAGGCTGTGTTTGATTACTTGGTCTTCAAAATGGATGTATGTAGATGAGCTCTGTTCTGATTCGCTGCCCTGTACTGCGCCTATTTCAAAAAAGCAGTCCGGGCTGAAACACTCCTTATAACTTCAGAATGAAAGGCCAAAATGTATTGGTTTATAAGACGTCACAAAAACAATAAATTCAAAACAGGCTGTTTTTACAGCTCAGTTACTATACATAGAGCATAGACTGAAGAGTGAATGGTATGTTTTAAGCAATGTTTACATAATACATCGAACTTTTATTTCAATAAAAGAAATGAAAAAATGTCAGATTTGCATTTAATAGTCCTTCTGAGCCATGACTGCAAAATCGCCTGAATCAGACATACATTAATCACAACAAGTTGGCTAATAACAGCGCCCTCTGGTGAATCTCTCTGAAAGTTGCACTTATAAAATATAGATAATGTTCACAAAAACACACTACATGCCGATGAGCTACTGGCCGTAAAAGACTAGTGGTTGCAACTTTTAGAAAATGACCATTTTTCCAGCTTTCCGAGGTGATGAGGACCGTCCGAAAACACCACAAGCATGCTTACGGGTTCTGCCCACTCTTACTGTGTCATCCAGTGAGACGTGAGAGGCGTTGACTTCCGAGCTCAGCTGTAGAACACTGTCATTCAGAGAGGAGGTGTGGTTTAAACATGGAGCATTGGCTCCGCCCACTATCTGACCCTGGATGGCAGTTCCAATAACACTACCCAACACCTCTATAGTCATACCTGCGAGAGAGAGAGAGAGACACAGAAATATCCATAAAAACCTTTTTTTTAATTTTTTTAATTTTCTCATTCAGCAAATGAGACAGCAATTTCTTAAATACACCGATCAGGCATAACATTCTGACCACCTCCTTGTTTCTACGCTCATTGTCCATTTTATCAGCTCCACTTACTATATAGGTGCACTTTGTAGTTCTGCAGTTACAGACTGTAGTCCATCTGTTTCTCTGATACTTTGTTAGCCCCCTTTTACCCTGTTCTTCAGTGGTCAGGACCACCATGGACCCTCACAGAGCAGGTACTATTTGGGTGGTGGATCATTCTCAGCACTGCAGTAACACTGATGTGGTGGTGTGTTAGTGTGTGTTGCGCTGGTCTGAGTGGATCAGACACAGCAGTGCTGCTAGAGTTTTTAAACACCTCAGTGTCACTGCTGGACTGAGAATAGTCCACGAACCAAAAATATCCAGCCAACAGCGTCCTGTGGGCAGCATTCTGTGACCACTGATGAAGGATCAGAGGATGACCAACACAAACTGTGCAGCAGGAGATGAGCTATCGTCTCTGACTACATCTACAAGGTGGACAAACAAGGTAGAAGTGTCTAAT